GCGTCCTGATTCAGCCACTGTTGAAACTGATCAGTTTCAGCAGCGGCTGAATCTGGACGCCAGTTCCGACTTACATACAGATTCAACTTAAGAACAAACCTACAGTCCCTATCTTGTACGTAACCCGGGGACTGCCTGTATTACAGAAGAGTCTTGATTTTCCGACCTTTGCTTATCCGACATTCCGTTTTATCCGCTCTGCCGACCGTCATGTCACAGCAAGGGGCTCCAGGGACACTTCACACCACAATGGCTTTGCTTTCCCTTTTCTTTGGCTGGGCGGGAGCTCTGCTGGGCAGGTCTGCAGCACCCTCTTGTGGCTGAAGAATTCGCTGTTGGCAAAGTCGCTTTTTTCCCTGTTTCTGGGGAAAGCAGCAGGGCTCATGCAATCCACATACATCTCTGGAAAACTGTTGCTGGGGGATGTGGAATGGTGCAGGGTGAGGGCTGCACTCCCACCGCAAGGCAGAACTCCCGTTTAGGGAGAAATACACAGGCTGGTCAAGGCAGCAGAAGCAGGAGGTTTAGAACTGGATCCCGCAAGGTATTACAAAGGGCAAATTTATAAAATTAAAAGAATTAACCATATTATCTGACATTTCCGCTATCCATCCTCTGGTCCCATTTAGGTTGGATAATTGAGACTCCATTGTAACTTGTTTTCTCCCTCCTGATCTTCACAGTAGTTCTGGTTAACATGGAAAAAGGTATACAGGGTCCTACTCACCACCTAGAATAGAGAGTATCTTTTCCTACTGCTACTGTATATCCCTTTTCAGAGAAAGGAGACTTCACAGTTTGTCCATGATGCAATTAGACTTATCTGTGGTACTCTACATCTCCTCATTAGAAATTGAAAGATTTCTGGATGCAGAAGCTATTTGGCATGATCCAGTTGTTCCTTAACTTTGCTACTTGACTGTGATGCATTTCTTTCCTTGAATATGTAGAAATCTACTGGATTGGAGGTTTGCTTCACTTAGGAAACATCAGAATGTGGGCTTTCCTTTGCAGAGACTATGATTGCTTCCCACCCTGCTGATTGACTGAGGAAATTGAACTACTGTATTCTGTCATGATTACAGGGAGTTGCTCATTTACAAGAGAAGTTCAAGTCCAAAGAAAACTGCACAAAGTTATAATCAATTTTTACCATTTCCTATCCTGCAGTATTCAAGTTCCCTGTATTTAACCCAACTCTATGTGAATTCTCCATCCCTAACTCCTGGCACCTACACAGTGGCTTACAAACTATTCGAAAATCCCTTCTTTAAACAATGAGAGCTGAGTCACCATTTTAGAGAGACTATTAGTCTGATAAAATGGACCTTCCAGAAGGGGCAATCCTTTCTTTAAACAATGAGAGCTGAGTCACCATTTGAGAGAGACTATTAGCCTGATAAGATGGACCTTCCAGAAGGGGTGAATTAAGATGTGAAGGAGATACACCAGACCAATAATTTCTGCAGTATTTAGAAAAGCATTTTTTCTTTTATCTGCTCATTTTCCAGCTTCAGCTAACAAGCCACATCCAGAGCTGTGCTGTCAATCATGGTGTAGGAAGAAAGTTGCCACAGAATGTTACGATTAGGATTGGACAGATTAAATTTTGAAATGATAAATGTCAGTAAATGTTGATTTCAACATGAACAAAATGAAAATATGTCCCCTGATACCTGAAATTTACCAATAGGTAAAGTGAGGGGGAGAAATGCTAAATGAGAGCTTAAGAGCTAAATATATAGAGATTAAGACTTTTAAATATGACTTGTTACAAATAGACTAGCAAATCAGTAATTAAAATAAGTATGACTTGTTGATTTAAGGGTATCTTTTTATATATTTTGACAATGACAATTTGTGTTTGTATGGTTTAAAGATTTATATCTTTTTTAATCTCAATTTCTGTCATTAAATAACTGTTTCCCCCATCATTTCCCACAACTGTGAAATTTGTAATGGATAAAAATTATGTTTAAAGTCATAATTCTCCTCAACTGTGAAAATATAGACTGATAAAAGTAAAAATCCATATTATTAAACCAAGTATTTAAAACAAAAAAATGAATTCTGCCAAGCCTAGGTATGATACAATCACAATGCTGTTTTCACCTCCATTCATAGCACAAACAAATAAATAATGGAGGGAAGACTGACTTTACATGGGTTTTTATGCCATTCACCCCTCTTTCCATTACAGTCTAGTATCTTGATTCTTCCAATATTTGGAAATCTCAAATCTAGTCTCTATTGCTGTCCTGTTTCAAGGTGAATCAATTTCTAATTGAAATTCATCCAAATAGAACTTTGCTAGACAAGTTTTGTTGGTGGTACCATTCCTTCTTTTAGTATTGAACTTTGCTAGACAAGTTTTGTTGGTGCTACCATTCCTTCCTTAAGTATCAAATGATGTCAGAATACATTGTACTATAATAAACATCTGTTACCAGTGTAGTATCCTCCCTAAATAAAAAGCTTTGAGTGTGTACTGGCAAAGTTTTCCTTTTTGGGGGTGGTTCTGAAAAAAGATCATCTGCTCCCACTGCTGTTTACAATTATTAGAAAAAACAAACATTCCCTTGCTGCAAAGTCCTAAAATGAAGGAAGAAACTAAATCTTCAGAAGACATACTGTGGCAGAACGGAAGGTCCACCTAAATTTTTCCAATTTTCAAAAATATTACAAGGTCATTACAGTTCTATTAATGATTACTGAACTACATTCTACTCTCTTGGAAATGAATAGTATGTTTAGCACATTAAGAACAGCTGCCTTGCTTCACACCCCTCCAGGTGCTATTTTTGAGAGATTACTTTTGTGAAAAAGAAATTAATCATACTCACAACAACTAGCTGATGTGTTCAACAATGGAAAATTATAAACTTTCAGCATGGGAGAAGTAGATATTGACAACCTTATCAAAAACAAACTAGAAATAATGCAGAACAGGGACACAGCCGTATCTTATTCCACTAGAAAAATATTAATTATTGCTGGACTACAGTTGCAGATTTTGTTGCTAGTAAGTACTGGAATCTGTTTTATTATTGTATGTTGCAGCACTCAATTATCAGAATAATATTATAATGAAATTCCTCTGTTTATAGAAAAGTTTAAAGAAACATAGGTAAAAGTGAAAGTGACGACAAGTATTTGAAATTATTGTAGTCAAAATAAAAACTAATCAGAAACCAATTTATTCTGAAATGCAATAAAACAGCTAAATCAGTTAAAAGGTCTTTGAATTTGAAAAAAAATCTATTTTCCATGTTAATGTATGTATACACTCTTAGATGAGCGAAACTTTCTGCAAAACCATTTCACAAGAAATAAAAATTTAGATGTACTCTTAGATGTACTCTGTTAGCTATACATAACTTACAAGATCAGCATATTTCTTGCAGAGCGCTGCCAACTTTTCTTCCGGAGTAGAAAGCGTGTTCAAGGCTTGCATCAACAACAGCACTTCTTTTCCTATGAATGAAAAAAATGAAACACTGAAAAATCCTACAAGAGCTTTTCCTCTTAAAATAATACTATATTAATGACAAGCTAGAATGTTTTTAATGACATGTTAGTTTAATAGCTGTATGTTGTTTTACTAGACAACAGCAACACAAATCCCTACAAAACAAGGAATTCATATAATTTATCTTGCTGTTTGTACAAAATATATGGTGGTAGTAGTATATTTAACTCAACTCTAATATGCTCCGAGCCTTAGACTACAAGAATTCTTTGCCTTTCATAACTGCTCTTTCACAACCAATCAAAAATATCAGATTGTTATAAAATACAGAAATATTCATGAGCTAAAAGTAAAAAGTGGTCTGATAAAGACAGTCATTTTCATTGAATACAGGCAGTCCCCAACTTACGCGGATCCGACTTATGTCGGATCCGCACTTACGAACGGGGCTCTCTCGCCCCGGAGCTCGCAGGCAGCGGTCGCCACCTTGACCTCCGGGGCGAGAAAAGCTGCTCCCGGTGCCCCTGGTCTGCTGGGGACCGTCTCCAGCAGACCAGGGGCACCGAGAGCAAAGCC